CACCAAAGACACAAGGAAAATATTAGCCCAAGAGATAGAAAGGGCCACATAAACCAGAGACTCCATCAGCCTGAGACCAGAAGAACTAGATGGTGTCTGGCTACCACCAATGACCACCCTGACAGGGAATAGAACAGAGAGTTCTGGACGGAGCAGAACAAAAGTGGGATGCAGAACTCAAACTCTAGTAAAAAGACTAGACTTACATGGTTTGACTAAGATTGGAGGGACCCCAGAAGACATGGCCCCCATACTCTCTGTTAGCCCAAAACTAAAACCATTCCCGAGACCAACTCTTCAAAGATTAGACTGGACTATGGGACATAAAATGATACTCAAGAAGAATACACTTCTTAGCTCAGGTAGATACATGAGACTAAATGGGCAGCTCCTGTCTGGAGGAGAGATGAGAAGGCAGAGAGGGTCACGACCTGGCTGAATGGACATGGGAAATCTGGAGTAGAAAGGAGGAGCATGCTGTCACAGTACAGAGAAAGCAACTACGGTCACATAACAATATGTGTATAAATTTTTGTATGAGAGACTAACTTGAATTATAAACTTTCACTTAAAGCACAGTTAAAAAAAAAAAAGCCTAAAAAAAATTATACATGTTTACTCTCAACATGGCTATAGAAGTTCAACTCAAATTCTTGTTACACAGGCAGTTACGAACATCTGACTTAGGGACAACTCATACTTGCCCTTTAATGTTATGTAAATTTGCTCTATCTTTGAAATGATTGAACCAACCTCTACTCGCAACAAATTCTTCATCACAATCACCTTTACTTGCTGCATGTACAGCTTCTGAGCTATTGAAAAGGCTTTGAGTCTCTTCTTGCACTGAAGTTAGGCTAAATAAAAACCATATGCACCTGTTCTGACTTACCTACAAATTCGACTTAAAGACACGGTTAGGAACAGATCTCGTTCGTAAACCGGGGATTGCCTGTATGTATGACTTACTCCATCATTTCACTTAGGTCTCTGCTCGAACATCACTTCAGAAAGGCCTTCTCTGACTGTCTCATCTGAAATAACATTGTATCTCTGCCACTCCGCTCTTTATGTCATGTCCTGCTTTATTTTTCTGCACAGCATTTATTACATCCTGACATGGTATTATAACATGTATTTACTTGTTTATTATCTAACCCTCTGACTAGGATGAAAGCTCCATGAGGGCACGGACTGTGTCTTTTTCACAGCTGTATCTCTAGCACACCTACATTAATGCTTGGCCCACAGTATATCCCCAATAAACATGTTTTTGATGAATGAATAGTAGCTGCAGTTTTAGAAAAGATTCAGTTATAAATTTAAATAATAATAGTTCCATCAAACAGACTCCCTTCCTCAGTTCATTTTTCATCTCCCAAAGGTCTTAGCTGAGTTTAGAAACAGTATTAATTCTCCATGCACTATGAAAATCAAACTGTGATACTATACATAATACCAATACTGAAGCTTTAAGTAACATTACCTTTGTGTTCCAATCTCTGATGTTTTTCATCAGGTTTATCATGAGGCTTTGAAAGTCCACTAGAGGAATCTGTTTCAGCTGTTTTTCCAAACTCATTTTAAACAACATTAAAAACAGCAACATTATTTCACGATCCTGGTAACCATCTGGATGTATAGATGTACATAAGCCTAGAAACTTTAACACAAATGCACATACAAAACAACTTAAGGATATATATTTTACTTGAAGAGTTTTAATTACAAAAGCTTTTGACAAAAAATGCAAAAAAGAACTACATAAAAAACAAAGCACCAAACGTTCAGAAAAAAGAAGGCAAGAAATACCATCATGTTAACAGCTGAATCAGTTGATTAAAAAAAACAAAACCAAACCCGTTGCCACCAAGTTGATTCCGACTCATAGCGACCCTACAGGATAGAGTAGAACTGCCCCACAGAATTTCCAAGGAATGCCTGGTGGATTCGAACTGCAGACCTTTTGGTTAGCAGTTGTAGCACTTAACCACTACGCCAGCAGAATTAGTTGATAGGATGAGTATTTTCTCCATTTTCTTCTTAAAGGTTCAGTGTTATTGATTTGATTCAGCCATTAAACATGTTTTTACACTGTTATTAATTCTCTGTAGCATTTCCATTCTTGGCAGGTAAAAGACTTCTATTTTAACTCCCAAACTCATTCTATGAAGCCAGCATAACCCTGATACCAAAACCAGGTAAAGACACCAC